AACAAAAAAAAACTAATTTTCTTGAATCATCTCGATGCTTATGTTAACGTTTAAATTCCTATTAAATTCATGCAGTTAAGAAATTAGTGATTATATAACATTAAAAAAATCATGAAATTCCCAAAAACAATAGTAATTTTATTGAATCATCTCAATATCGATTTTGATTTATTTTAATTAACGTTTAAATTTGTCTCATTTGTTAATTGGTTATGCAATTAAGATTTTTTTTATTCTTGTTTTACAGCAATCTGTCTGAAGAAAACAGTTTCAGCTTATTGATAGCTTTTAAACCATTAATGATTATAGAATACTTAACAATCATTAAAATAAGTGATTTTAACCAAATTTGGATACTGCTATAATTATGTATTGTAATCGCTAAGGGTGTACGAGATTGCAGATTTGAAGAAAAAAAAAACGACGGTTGAGGTGATTGTGCCAATTAATGAAGGATGGCTGCGGCAGTAATCGCAATAAGAAGAAAGTACAATTAAAGTAAATTAATAAGTCATAAGCAGCTGTTAATGTCGCATTCGTGGTGTGGCACCTGCCTTCCATGTGGTCATCGGCTACACGACCCGACCTAACTTTACATCAACTTCACCCAAACCCGATGTACGCGCATAACGCGTATGTACATCGTGAGATATTTATAGTCCTTCTTCTCCTTTTTTTCCTCTCTTCTTTCATTCCTCATCAAAACATCCATCCGCCCCTGCTGTTGCTGCAAGAAAAGGGGTGCTTCGAAATGCTCACGAAAGGGTTCCCCATTTAGAAACACATCGTCGGTTTAGTAGTATTTAGACTACATCCACTTCAATTTATGGCCATATTTCAATTCTTCTTTTTTTTTTTTTAATATTTTTGTTTTCATTCTTTTTGCTGTGTGTAATGTAATAAAACGATGCGTTGCGTGTCTCCCGTTTTTTTTGCAATTAGTATAAACGCCGAAGATTGTCTGGCGCTTTAATTAATATGCTTTTGCTGATAGAAAAAGAGAAACATTTAATGTGTACGAAGAGAATCTGTAACCTGAGGAATTTGCATGCGTTCTGGCGTGCCGTGAAGTGCGACTACCACGAAATGACTATAAATAATGATTTCACAATCTCAGACATATCATTTCGTTTTGTAAATTATATATAATATTAGCACTTATTTCATCAACAACATTATTAATTGCTTTAACTAAAACTTTTCAGAAGTTAATTTGAATATTACCATGCAATTCTAAAAATGTACAGCTATACCTCGCACAGTGCGCTTCGATCAGTACGATTTCACTTTATTACTTCTAATCAAATCAAATTTAAGTAAATTCAGTCCTCGATTAATACGGTTTCAATCAGTTTGGTTTATTGACTAATTTACACGGTTTTACATTCAAAAAGTTACAATTTCGATTTACACGTTTTTCTCAAGAATCTATCTACCGTGAAAATATAGTTTTTTTTTTAAATGAGATAAAGTTCATTTAATTATGGTTCAATTTATATAAGAAATAATAAGCTACATATTTCAATTAACAATTTTGCGATTGAAATAATAATCTATAGTTTATTTTAACAAAGCAACAGTACATCAAGTTCTAGGAATCCCTTCCTCGATGGACTGGAAATATTTCTGTAATATTTCGTAAACCTGTTGCGTAAGCGTGTCCGGCCGCAATGGTTCAATTTCTTAATAATCCTCAACATCGGGTTTATATAACTGATTGTATGTGATTACATTTACGACTTCGCTGTATATTAAATGCTTATATAATTCATTACCTGCCCCACAAAAAAAAAATAATATCAACATTGAAATAAACTAAAGTCATGTTTAAAACTTGTAATGGTCATGTTGCTTTTGATCATTAAGTGTTCCAGTTTATGATTCGTTTTGTGTTTTTATGTGTATTTTGTTGAAGCCGTAAACTAGGCAACGGTTTTGCGAAAGCCACAATGGCGGCAGGTGTATTCATTAAGAAGTAAGACAAAAATTTCGTTCTTAAAATAGACCTACATCGTGTATAAATCAATCTAGTTTATTTTTTTTTTGTTTCCTCTTTTCTTACTCGGATCGGATAGGATCAGACCAACTTTCCAGTCGTTAATTGCCCCCACGTCGATGGGGGTAGCGGCCACATCATAATAGAAATAGAATTTTTATATTTATAGTAGACTTTCGTAATGAAATGCTCGAGGCACCTGTCTTTGGAAAAAGAGGCACGTGCCATCTGCCAGGTTATCATAAATACACCTTACACAATCTCTCTTTCGCTCTTAGATACGCACCACCAACAAATATATATATATATGAAACCCTCGATAAACGGAACGGAACTACACGACGATTTACCATTTCGCATTGTAGTCTCAATTTCAATATTTGTTAAGCGGTAACCTTCTGATCTAAGTAAAAAAAAAAATTTCATTTGTTAAAATTATCCAATAACTGACACATATTTATATGTTAAATTAAATGCTTAAAGTGTAGTAACTGTACAAATTCCAGTTACAATATTTTAGATTATAAAATTTTAGTAAAAATACTGATTCACTAAAAAAAAATGTTGACTAATCCTATTAAAAGTACATACTAGATTTTAAATCAATAACAACAAAATTATAAAATTTTCATATAAAATTAGTATTTTTATAAAGAAATTTATGTATTTCAAGATCATATTCAGTGAATAAGTTAATAATTTTAATGGAATAATGGGATTCGGAAGTACTTAACATTTTATTTCATAATTTTTTTTATTTCGCAAGTAATTTTTTTTTAAATAAACTATTCTTTTACTTTATTGAAAATAGAATTATTATTGCCCTTTGGCCAGCCTATTAGTATATATATTTTTATTGTATGTTAAAATTTGTTTATGTATAAATTGTACTTTTTTTTCTCTTCTTCTTATGTATCGATGTTTGGCCAATAAATTATTATTATTTATTAGAATTATTAATGTGATTCTATTCATTGCTAAAAGTATTAGTTTAGATTCACGCATTTCATTTTGTACTTTTACTAAATCATAGATGAACATTTATGGATTTACTAGTTGATGTTAACATTTAATTGGTTGTGAATACATTTATTTTTGAAATTAAGAATGTTTATACATTGATTAGTAAATGTATACATTTACTGAGTTCTAAAGTGTGAACAAATAAATTATGATCTGAATTTGTGTGAAGTTATAAGTAATTTCGATTAGAATTTATCGAGTAATTGATGTTTTTTTGTTCTGCTATAACTTGAAAACTGTCTGTATTTGCATATAATGGTAGTTGCCATCACCTTGTTGTGTTGTGTTGCTGCAAAGTTACGTACGTACGTATAAATATAATAATATTAAAGAACGTCGTCAAAAAATAATGGGATCACGTTTTCTTTGAAGCATTGTTTGACCGCAATGGCAGCAGGGTTATATGTGAGTGTGCAATAATTATAAAAAATCGATTAGCCACGGTTCGTTTTATTGTGAGTTTTGCGTTTCCGAGAATATTATTTCGGAGTGGTAAAGATAATTAGCATGAAATCAATTTTTAGTACTATCTGAAAATAGTTTTCCCAGGTGCCGTTTACCGATCGTAAAGCTATAAGTGCGCCATGGACCCAGAAGTATATATCGAGTATTATTAGCAACTGCCCATTATTGTGTGTTCCAGCTCTTACTAAACCACATCTTGTATAGACTATATTTTTTTTTTGCAATAATTGCAAGTTTTTGGAAACTTTATACTCAAACAACGCCAATTGATAGATTTTAAATTTATTTATGTCGAAGAGAGAAGACAGTTTTAAAAGTATGTTGGAGTTCAAGTTTATAGGGAAGACACATACGTATAGAGAGAAGAAGAAAAAAATTGAGTATTTGTGTTTAGTAATCAAAGCGTGTTAACAAACATGGCGTACATAAAGGCGCGGGCACGAGTCCAATACGTGAGGTCCACCTACGACACGTCTTCACTGAATTCTCTCTCCTGCGCTCAACGGCCTATGACTATTTAGTTTTTTGTTTTTTTTTTTTTAATCGTGGGTGTTTTCCTTTCCATCGATATATTAAAATTCAAAAATATACTCTCGTACACACGACACAACCGAATCGTTCACGTTACAAATGTTTCCATTTTATTTGTGCCTTCATCCTCGCCTATACATTTCTTTTTTTTATCTCTCTCTCCTGTTCTGTTTGACATGCTCTCCTCTTGAACGTTCCCAACCCGAACTCATTAGTGTCACAGGCAAAAGTATTTAAAGCGCGCGCGGTCCCAAAAGAAAGTAATTAGTTAAAACAAACACATAACGCTTGTTCTTTTAATTCGTATCCTCTCCGATACGTCAATTATGTCATTTCAGTAAAACACTACAAATTGCTGATAATTGTATTTTATTTATTTTCTTGTTTTTTTTTTATCACAAAACATTAATTGTATAATTAATTTGAACGAAACAACAGGTTAATGATTAAACGTTGCGTAATATTTTTTTTAGCGTGAAGGCTATAAATAGTTTTTCTTCAATTGATTAAATTTAACGTTGACGCCGTATTATTATTATTATATCGGTGGCATGTGCCAAACACATTTCATATGCGACAAGTGTATCCAACTACTGTCTGCAAATACTTACGCATGACTCGATTATTCGTTTTTTTTTTATTGTAACTAAATATACAATGTTTCATTCATGCCATTCATTATATACGCTCAGCTATTTTCCTTCGATTTTCATATTATTATTGGTGCTATTAAAATTTTCGTTCGAAAATCTTCAAAGGATGAACGTTCAAAAACGTATTTATTTTCGTAGACTTTATGAAATCCCACTTTTGAGCCTTAAAGGCGTCAACGTGCGCCCATGTATATATACGTAGCGATACAAATGTTTATTCATTAGATGAGATGAAAAATCTACCTCTCTTCCTCGACAAATCTAAATAAATCGAAATTATTTTGCTTTCGTAATATTTTTATGTAATTCTGATGGGTTTTGTTTTTTTGCAGATATCCCGACGCAGGTACCGCCACTGACGCCGGGAACGAACAAGACCATGGCAGAGGCGCTCAAAGCGTCTTTCGCGTCTTGGGAAAAGGAACAAATCCGACTTAACATTACCAAAGGTATGTAAACATTTTCTCTCTTTCTCTTCTCCTTCTTTTTTTCAGTTCCAGTCTTTTTGTTCTGGCACCAACCTGACGCCAACATCTCCACTCCGCCGTAGATTAAATCATTAGCATTCTTAGCACCGAAAAACGTATAGCACCGCATCCATCATATTCATCCGCATGTAATCCCTCCGCGGTTTTAGACGTATTTTAAATTTAGCGAAATTCGCACACGAATTACTCAAAGTTGCAAAGACAAGAGAGTGAGAAAGAAAAAACATCATCGCATGTCTTAAACCGCAATCATTTCAAGCTAAAATAACGAATAAACAAGTTTTCGTATGGTGAAAGTGGTGAATGATAATTGCGATAATTAATTAAATCCGAAGGAAAATGTTCCCACAGTCTTTTTATTCGTTTACGTTTATTTTCGCCGTCTCTGAAAAACCGAACGAATATGTATGTACGCTCAATTAAACACCTTAATGTATTCGTTATCAATTGAGTAGTACCCGATAATTCGTCGTTTCGTTTAAACGATTCGTATTAGCATGAGTTACTCTACTCAACTCAACTCAACTCAACTAAAGCAATATGAGTAAATCACGTGAAAGTGATTATATATTTTTTTTTATATACTTTCTTTTCTTTTTTTGATATTACTCACTTTATCGCGCATTGTTTGGACGGAAGGGTGAAGGCCTGCTAATAGCTTCTGTAATATTTCAAGATAAGATGGATTTAGAAAACTTAATGTTCCGAATTCGTAAAACCATTCCGGTGGGTTCAGATTAGATCTAGCTTCTTATTTTTACTTTTCTTTTCGTTTTACTATACGAGAAACCACTCGGAAGAAATCTAACAATGGATGATGTGTATCTGTTAATTTGCCTGTTGCATGCCACGGATTGTTTTACAATTACTACTGTTCGGGGGTTGCCAGATTGCCAGTTTTTTGTTTTGTTTTGTTGGTTTCGTCTCGCTCGTTTCGGGGTCGCAATTAGGACTGTTGGATTTGGTGGGAAAGAGGGGGAGAGATCGGTCAAACACCGGAAACAATCAGATAGGCGCGGGTCAGCGAAAGTTTCCGCTTCTATTGAAAACCAACTAAGTGTAACACTGCAGTTTCCGTTTTCGTTTTTCAAATTGCGAAATGTCGACGTACCAACCGAAATATTTAATAATCGTCTTTTTTTTTTAACAAAAGACATTTAGAAATAATTAGTTTTATAATTTCTTTATTTATTTTAACACTTTTAATTGTCTGTCTAATAAATTATGAAAAATTGAACAATTTGAAACTCGAAAAAAAAAACATGAGCAAAAGTACATGATATTTAGATCAATTATAATCAAAATTTACATTACTTTCTAATAAGAAATATTAATACGCTCGAATTTTGAAATAATATGTTGAAACTCGAATAAAAAAAATCGGTTTTCAAACTCGAAAAAAAAAAGATTAATTATATTTTGATGAAAACTTTAGATCAATTTTAATCATTTCTTAATAAGAAATTTGAATCGAACCAATTTCTAAGTAAAATCATCATTTACATTTTTTTCTGTCAATGAGTATAAATTAAATGAGAGTTGTTGATTTCACACTAAAATAAAGCTTGTATTGATATTGTTAATAAAAAAAATAGTTTATTTCAATTATTTCTTATGGTTGAAATTGAAATTGTACTCGAAAGTTGAACAATTTGTACCTGAATCTGTTTGTATTCGATTTTCAAAGATCAAACTATTTGTCTGACTATATTTTTTTTTTGACTGTGAGTTATAATTAAATGTAAGACGCTTGTTAAACGTTAAATCTCCTTGAACGTTTTATGGTCGAAGATTCACTACTTGACTGTTTACATATTGAAGTGTACAGTTTTTTCAGTCAATGAGTTTAAACTAAACTAAATGAAAGATGCTTGTTTCACGCTAAAATAAGGGTTTATTAGCTGCAGTAGTTAAGGTATTTTATTCGTCAATAAAGTAGATCCTGGTGAGTTTGAACTAATTACTTTCATGGTTGGTCGTTGAGTTAGTGTCCGCAATTTCACGCGATTTCGTTTTATACGTGTAGTCTCCGCATGTAAAACGACGTTATGCGTTTCTTTCTTTCTTGTTGCTGTTGTTGTTGTTGTTCGGGCTGGATTTTGCAGAAGGTTTTCCAAGAGAACATCCGAGGTGTGATTGTGCTTGTATGTGTGTGTGTGTTGCTGCGTACGAATGTGTTTGAACAAAGGAGGTCCGTTGCGAGGGATTTTATTTGCTAATATAACGCGCAGAGCACATCGCAACTCGAATATATATGAATTCAGCGATGCGTGGTGCTTGCTCTCCCAGCTCTCTGAAAAAAAGTCAGTAATATACACGTGGGCGTAATAGAGCGTCCACAATTGGAGCTCACTGGACCATGCAGGACTGTATCAAAGTAAAAATCTGTAATTACTGGTACACGAACAATGGCATCATAGCTCAAAGCTTTTTTCAATATGAACGAACATACGTACGTTCATACGAACGGCCGGCATGTATGTATGTAGCCACTCTTCTCAGATCGCGAACGGTACATTTTTAGACGCGCTTTTATATATATATATATTTCGAGTTCCGAAACAAAAACAAAAGCAAATAATAAATGGATAATCCTTTGAACGCGGCGCGCATCCAAAGTGACCCGTTGTGGGTCACACCGGCCGTCGGACACACATTCATTCGAGCAGAATTTCGCCAATAAAAAAAAAGGGGGAAAAGAGTAAAACGAAAACAAAACTCAAATGAAGACCTGCGTCCGCTTAATATTCCACCTGTCTAGTATCTGCCGCATAACTCCACGCACGGACTATAATATATTTATTCCAAATACTGTAACACTAAAATACAAATTATCTAAAATCGATACAATGATTTCATCCACGAAAATACGTTATATCCAATATAACAACAACTAAGTTTTATTTTCTTTCATTTACCAAAATAGAAAGTCCATGACCATTTACTTCGATTTCCTGGAAGTGCCTAATTATTAATTAATTGCGTTGGTCTCTTTTTTTTTTTCATCTAACTTCTTCTCGTAGAGGAGAGAGAGAATGAGATTGAAATAGAGACTGTAAGCTCCATACATAAACACTATACTAATTAGCGCATTTATTGCACTGGGAAGTCCTTATTCTGCCACTAGTTTCTCTCCGAAGCTAAATTAATGTCACCGCCTGCTTTTTCATCGTTTATCGTCTATTCGGAATCAGAAAACTCTCCTCGATTGTGCCACCAACGATATTAAAAACCGAGAACACTCTATATCACCATTTACCACTTCTACTCGCTAATTAACGAGCTCAATAATAATTGCATACAAATCTAGTATTATTTATTTTCGATGTATTAACTTTGCAATCGTCGTGTGAAAACTCTTATTCATATACATCGCATAACGATGACTGAATGCAATACGAGATTAACAAAATGTTGATTGTTTTTCAATTTTTACAATAGAAGTATTAAGTATCGCGCAGTAACAAATATATGAGCAAAAAAAGGATAAACAAAAGTTTTTGTACAAGGTGTCGGTTCGAATTTATCTCGGAACCGATTTCCATGTTCTTTAATATTTTAAAGGCAAACAAAAACCAAGCGTCTGGACTATTTGTACGACCATCACAATGTACACACCGGATCAAAAATGCCGCTGCTTTGTTTACCCTTTTGAACGAAGAGAGAGAAAAAAAGAGCAAGACAATGGAGAGGAGAGGAAAAAAACATAATGAGTTTTGTGTCATTCGCAATTAAAGTTTACAATTCAATCTTCGTTTAATTTGGAAATTCAACTTTAGTTTAGTAAGAAAATCTAGTTGTTTTTGTTGATCAATTAATAAAATAAATTTACTTTATTTGTATGGAACGGAATTAATTTATTTGGTGAAATGAGGTCAAATTTTATACAAAAATGTTGAAAAATAAATACATTTTTTCTTTGTTAATTAATGTTCTTTAGCTTTTAATTAAAATTGAAAGTAAAAAATTAACTATTAATAATTAATATAAAATATTGTTATAAATGTGGATTATATCTAGAATTACGTTCGTATTTAAAGTAAAAATGTAATAAAAAGGTGTACGCAAATAGAAAACTCTTGATGGGTTGGGACAACTGAGATTTTTTTGTGCCGATAACAAAACGAAAATAAACCGCCCCCCTATTAATACAAGCATTTGAAACGTTGATGTTAACTCTTTCGTGTAGAAGATAAACTAGGGGTCTTTAAATGCTTAATTTCGAGAAGACTTCTACAAAGTGTTCGTGCAGTCGATTTTCCGTTTTGTAGCAGTGGATCGCTTTTTAGAAAAGTTTCACATTATGAAACTCGTTTCGTTTCGCTAACGAAGCTCCTGACGTCATTTCGCGCGAATTATGCATATGGGTGTAATATATATTAAACGGGGTTCCCCGAATTGCTTTTTCATTCGTTTACTGGACTTTGCAGATCATTGTTTCAAAGCGAGCCAGGCCAACAATATGTACATGCATCTTGCACTAAGGCCTTTCCACACCTATTGAGCTTTTTCTGCGCGTGTAAATCACATTCGTGACTTGTTTAATTGACATTGCCTCAAGTCGATGCACATACATACTCATACTCTCACACATACAACTCGACACGCCACCTCTGTGAACTTTAAAGTTCCATTCATTACGATCTTTCCGTTTCCGTCCGTCACATTATTTTCAACGTTTAGCACAAGTTATTGGAATTACTAAAAATTTGGTTATTTACTTTTCGATTTTACGGGAGGAAATAGTTTCTCCAATCGATTCATTCGGAGAGGAAATAAATTCGCGAAGATATTGATGGAGGGTGCGATGAATTCCGTGCGGGGGGGTGGAAATGGCCCAGCCCAAATCGTATTTATCAAGAAACAATTTCCTAATATTTCTTCGCGTTCCAAACGTAATGCGATTTTCCTGCAGAGCAACACCTATGAGCAAATCCATAAATGGATTTTCCATGTAACTTCTTGGCGTTACCTTTCTTTATTACGCAACGTGTTTGTTTATTCTAGTTTGTTTAATTACACGATGGTTTTTTTTTTATTGTTTTTTTGCAGATCCTCGTAACTGGACGGAAAGCCATGTGTCCCACTGGCTGCAGTGGGCGACGAAAGAGTTTTCTCTCGAGGGAATCGCCCTCCACCAATTCCACATGAAAGGCAAAGATATTTGTGCAATGGGAAAGGATGCTTTCCAGGCCCGGGCTCCAGCTTTCGTCGGTGATATTTTATGGGAACATCTGGAATTACTGCAGAAAGGCAAGTTATTATCTTATTTATTTCCTTTAATTCGTCCATGCATTAGTTTAATAGAAGCAAAATACATTTTTGTTTTGTGTGTGTGTTTTGTTTCGTATAGAGCAGAACGGTCTGAAAATCGTGAATGATACCAATTATTTGGTTTACTCAGCATGCAATGCATGCCATCTGATAAAGTACTTAGAAAATACTTGCGTTTTGTTATTTCGCGTTTCATAATTGTTGTATTTATTAAGGCTTAATATGTACCTACGTGTTTTTCGTTGTTATTATCATCGTCTGCTCGGTGTGTTTTCGCATTATTACGCCCGATATCATCGTTTATCTTGTGGGATTTCTGCAATTGCTGAATCGAGCGTCGATTTAACATGTGGAAAATTCATTCATATACACACAGCAGCAGCAACAGCAGCAGAAGCTCTCCACTTCATAAATCACTTTTATAGCTTTCTTAGAGGCGGCAATTACTGGATTCCACCATGAATGGAACTTCATTATCATATTATTTTGTTCGTTCCTTCTTCCACAACTCTTCCACCGCATTCTATTTTTATTTCATTTCGTATTCTTTTTACTTGCAGATGTTGAACGGGAGCGGACTATAGCCTCGGCGAATCATACGCACATATATGACTCCATGTGTGTCCCAGATTTGGGAACGTTCCTCGAGTATAACCCGTCCGGTGTTATGCTCGGCATCGACAGGAAGCCAATAGTCAACCCCGCGCAACCCAACACTCCCACCCCCGGCACACCTGCCCCGAACAACAATAATTTCATGGAGGGTGAGTTTTCGTTTTGTGCAATTTTTCCTTCCACCCGACAACTCGAGTACTTGTTTTATATACACTCGTCTCTGCAAAACAATTAGCATAAGAACCAGTTTTTATACAACAAGTACGCGCCTTTCGCTCTCTGCTCTTTTTTTTTTCTCTCTCAACTTAAATCATCGAACCATATCTTCATTGTAACTCCTCTCTCTCTCTCATACTCCTTACACAAGCAAATATTGCGCGTTGCGAATTTCATAAAATATTAATATTAAATAAATAAATTACAATAAAAATCAATTCCATTATTACACTCTTCGCGTTACTAAAAAAATTGCAATTTTTTGTTATCGAGAGAGAAGATCAGGATTATTCGTAATGGATGAAAAACGATATGTTATTGTTACAATGCAAACAAGATTTCAATGTTGAATATTAAATATTTGCGCAATTGGAAAACGCAAATGAAATACAGAAGAAAAAAATGTATATGATCGTGGCTCAATAATAATGTTCGCAAACTGCTGTTTGTTTTGGTCGACGAAGCCCGATTCTCTCTTCATTTCGTGTTTTTCATTGTTATTATTTTTATTGTTTGCGGATTTTCGCCTGTTCTTCGCGTGTTTTCGTAATGGCGCACAGAAGATCCGCCCAGCTTGTCATATGTGTGTATGTGTGTACAATTCGCGATTTATGAAAGATGAGTGTACTTGTGTGTTTGCTTGAGTGTGTATGTGTATTATTAGCTTGCGTAATTATAAACGAGGCACATCGTCACGCTGAAGTATTCTGAAAGTTACTGTTACCTAATCTAGGTTAATATGTTTGGGGTCTTCGAGTGCTAAAGCTTTATTATTCCCTCATATTCGAGGTGAGAATGATGAGCGTGATTTTCCATCGATTTGTCTTATTTTTTTCATGATTTAACGTCTCTTTTGAATGATGCAATTTGCGAATTATGATAGAAAAACATATATAAACGCTGAAGTAAATTTCGTAATTATGATGCGTCAAATGCGATGGGATTAGGTCATAAACGCAATGGAACAATTGCGAATTATTTAACAAACAAAACAAATAAATGAAATGTGGAGGAGTGTGCGATGAAGATGATGCACGGCGGGCGGAAGGCAACGGACCGGTCAATCTATTTCATATGTGTGTTGTCGAGGATGGGTCTGATAGTGAAAGTTAGATAAGGAGTCCCGAGTATTGCACATTCTGCAAGAACACGCGGCCGCCCGTCTTTTCGGACATGCTTCGCTTCCAACAATGCCAAACACTCTCTATTCTTTTATTTAACCATAAACCACACAATCCGACAATCGGTCTGATTCTGACGCACAAAAGCACATACGTTTCCGATGCCCGAATGCTGAAGAAGTGCACCGTCGAGTCTCTCCCGAGAAACACACTTCGCCGCGTATTTTCGTACACCTCACACCTGCAACAAATATGTGATTTGTGTTTAGTTTAAATTAACAGTTTTAACCTTTTTTTCCTTATTGGAGTAACGCAATGGCATTAGTTTATACAGGTTTGTACTCTACAGTTTTTCAATTCCATCGTAACAATTACTTGTAAATTATTCTATATTTAGATTATTTCATTCAATTCATTTATTTAAGAAATATATTGATCAAAGTTTGTTTCAAATTGAGTTAAAATTTGGGTGCGTCTTATGGTCCGAAATATGTTTTCTTTTACTAAAAACATTTTTAGACAAAGAACATTAATTTATATATTTTAATAACAGGACGTGGTTTATATTATGCAACTGTCTGTGTTTTTTTGTTGTTGTTCTTGTTGCTTGCTGCAATATACGAAAAATCTAGAAAGCTTTTTTATTTTTTTTTATAATTCGGTATACGAAATAAATAATTAATTATGATTTGCCTGTTGCGCGATTTATTTTAGGTCACAATTTACGTAACCGCCTCACGCATTCATTTAATTATCATTTTGAAAATTAAATTAATTCTGTAATAAAGTAATCAGTATTATTTTATTATACCATTAATATTTTGCAATAATTATTAAATGTAAAAATCAAATAAAATTTTTATTGTGTAAACCTATTGAAATTTGTTTAGTCACGAAAAAAAATTGAAATTTTCAGTACGATTTTCTACTTTCAATAATCAAAAAGCGTAAACAAAAAAGTTGCAATGTGCATACGTATAAATAAATTAGATTTTTTTAAAACAAATTATTTCGAAAATTGAATTTTTTTATATTATTTTAATTATTATGAAATTCAATAATTTCAAATAAAATACTTATAGCAATTGAAACAAAAGATCTCAATACATTCTTGTAGTTTCAACAATTTTTATTTGAAAAAGTTTAAAAAGAAATGAAGTTTTCAGTATTATTTTAATTAAACAATTGTCTTCGTATAATTATTAAATTTAATAATTGAAGAAAAAAAATCTCAATGTGTATGCATATAAATATATTTGAGTCCTTTAAACCTATTGGAATTTTATTGGTAATCCATTGTTGTAGTGACACCAAAATAATTAAAAGAAAAAAAGCTTTGTTTAAAGTTATTTCACGTCTAGCTACGTACCTATTGTCTCCCTTATAAGGGACTCGAAATATGTCTATGTCTGGATGTGTTTGACTCAAATAAAGTTCTTATTTTTTTCTAGTAATAAATATTATACAAGCATTCAAATTAATTTCATAAATATAATGAAAATTCATATTCACATAGAAGATTTTCTTAAAAATTAAATTGTTAAAATTAATAATTTATTTGTATATAATGTATTTTTCTTGTAATATTTGCATTCTTCTTTGAATATACAGTGGAACCTTAACGAGTTTAATCCGTTCCAAAATTTCGGATTTTCACTTCAAAAATACACATAATATGTGTATAAAAGTAATCCGGGACTTCTCTTCTCGTTACTCTTTATGCGAAATGCTCGTTTTGCGAGGTTCCAGTGTATTTGTTAAAAACAAATGTGTGAATATATGATAGATATTCATATTAATTAAATTGATTAAAATTGTAAATTAAAAATTCTTTTGTGAAAAATGTTTTTTTCTTGTAATTTTTAGTTTATTGAAATTTCCTATATTTGCAATAATATTTTCATTCTTCTTGAAATATATTTGTTAAGAATTGTGTATTCAAACAAATGTAGAATTTTGACTATAGCAAATATGTGATGCCACGTTGTTAAAATTTGTATTGAAATTATCTGTTTTTACGTAAGAAAAGAAAAAGTTGGTACAGGATAAATATTAAGACGAAATATAAGTTTATTGCAAAAGTAAACACTTTTTTTTTATTGTAGGATGAAGAAAAACTAACTTACAAAAAAAATGATGCGAATGTAATTGTAATTATAAAGGAAGTGAGAATAAAACAAAAATTTGAGAGTCGGCATCAATGATGCATAATTATTTTCAGTAATGTACGTTTTCTAAAAGGAGAAGAGAACTTTTATCCGGGGGGGTCGTTTCCGCAAACAATTTAAGTGGCATCGGGAGAGGAAATTGACCGCTAGATGAGGAATGCTGCGTTTTTTTTTCTCCATCGCTTTTCCGCGTATTTAAAAACAGGATATATTAAATCTTCCGCACACAAAACCGGCCTCCATATTAATGAACACACACAAAAAAATATATAAAATAACAGCAGCAGAAAGAAACAAAAAAAAAGGACGAAAATATATGTGTGCTGCTTGCATTCTCGAGGCGCGCATCATTGATTCCGAATCGATTTATAATATTATGCGCGCGAAATAAATCACTGATACCTCTCTTAAATAACGACTAATTAAATCAAGTATTCATCATTTAATTATAATTTATATTTTATATATATATACTTACAGGATGAATTAAATTTTGTTTCCTTCGCGCGCGCGCGCGCGCGCGTTAATAACGAATTCAAATATTGCGAGAAATATCTTGTCGTCGTCATCCGCGTCCTGCCTGTTTAATTTTAATTTATTGGAATTTCTTTGCGCCACGCGAGATGCGTTTGCGAGGAGGAGAAGGAAATCGCAATCTCGTTTCCTCGGCATTATCAATAATAATGAGGAATTCGCGTTTATGGATCGCGCCGTCCGCTGGAGACTTAATTAATGGGAAATCGAATCAAATCGATTTAAATATTTATCTGGACGCCCGTTTCGAAGAACACCTGCACCACCAACTATTTTGCATTTGTCACCGCGACACGAGTATTTATTTCGATTCGACCGACTCGACATTTATTTAAACACCTATATAAACATGCACATTAGTTACCTCGCTTAACGAGCAAAATAAATTGTAACAAAAAAAAATGACTCGCTTAACGAGCGACGTTTCGCATAACGAGTGACTAGGAGAAGAGAAGTCACGGATTGCAACTTTTTTACACAAATTATATGTTTTTTTTATATATTTTGAATATATTCTATTTTACAAACTAATTAAAAAATCTTAATTTTCTATTTTTAGTATATTTTTAAAGCCCAATACGCATTAATTACATTATTCATCTATTTACTATAAACATTTTTAAACAATATACGAAAAATCTAGTTTTTGATTTATTTTTTAATTCGGTATACGCAATAAATAATGAATTATGATTTGTGCGCCTGCTACACCATTTTCAAAACTTTTGTACACAAATTATATGTTTTTTTTTTATATATTTTGAATATATTCTATTTTACAAATTAATTAAAAAATCTTAATTTTCTATTTTTAGTATATTTTTAAAGCCCAATACGCATTAATTACATTATTCATCTATTTACTATAAACATTTTTAAACAATATACGAAAAATCTAGTTTTTGATTTATTTTTTAATTCGGTATACGCAATAAATAATGAATTATGATTTGTGCGCCTGCTACACCATTTTCAAAACTTTTGTACACAAATTATATGTTTTTTTTTATATATTTTGAATATATTCTTCTATTTTACAAATTAATTGCAAATATTCTCAATTTCTAGTATATTTAAAGCCCAAGACGCATCAATTACATTGATTTATTT